CGTTTCTATTTTAGAAATATTCCGAGGAGATTCAAAATTCATTTTTATATCATCAAATGTGAACTTTTTTAAAAGGTATTATTTTCCTAGTTTTTTCTATTTCTTAAAAATCATATTTCAGTCTTTATGCAAATTAAATAGTACTTTTAGTGATAACATATATAAATATATATGTATATTATTTTTTAATATTCTTTTTAAGTTTATTTCAAACAAATTCATGGGGCCATGGCCTTCTTCTTGGAATCTCCTTTTTTTTTAATATTTATAGCAAAATGTTACACTTTTAAATGGTTAATTACAATTTTAATATTCCAATTTTTTTTATTTAAAGAACAGATAAACGTAGATTTCGTTAGATTATTCTTTTTTTATGTTAATAATTTAAATCAAAATGTTTTAATAATAAATTACATTTCGATAATATACCTTTTTAATGAAATAATTTGAATCATAATTTTTGATATTTAAAAAAGTTTAGTTTGTGGTCGTCCTTAATAAATTTCTAGATTCGCCAATGATAAAAAGTTGCTGATATAATTGGTTAATAGGAAAAGTTGACCGATCTCACGCCAGATAATAATCACTAACTGGTCATTAAGTTATTAGGAATGATACGTCTCTTCGTAATATATCTGCCTCGAGCTCGTCTCAAAGGATAACAACGTTACGGCGGCGTATGGAGTCGTGTCCGTTGTCCCGCACGTTCGAGTTTCGTAGTACGAATGGCAACACGGCAACTTTGTGTAAATAACAGCACGCCGAACGTTACGAAAACAAACGGCGAACGTAGTGCGCCACAACCAATTCAATAAAATATTTAACGTATCCAATACAGCAAAATATTTAACGGTACGATGGCACCGTTCGCTCATTTAAAACGAACTATTTATTCGTTTGTTGTGCTCGCTTGGTTCATCGGTGTGAAGTTCACTTAAGATAAAACGTAATTCGTGTCAAAAATCCAGATAGAATTCCATTTACAATTTTGTTTTCTTTCTTTTAATATATGTAAAACGTTTGAAAAATTAAAGCAGACACGTACCTAATCAGATTCGATAAATAAGGAGTATTATGATTTTTAGATGTATTTATTTGAAGAGAATAAAACTTGTTAGCTTCATTTTATTACACATTCGTAATTATTATTTCTCTTTACATTTTGTGGATTATAAAATATTAACATTTTAATAAAACAAAAATTTTAATGAATTAAAGAATAAAATTGCGAATAATCACTTTTACTTAAAAATTATGCTATTTTCTTTCACTTTGATAAAAAATTAATCAAAGAGTAACGAACAATTAATTTTTCTTTCTTAATCATACAAAGGTAACTTTTATTTCAATATAAATTTAATTCTCAGTACACGCTTGTACTCGAATTTGTATGCTATGCGTCCTTTTTTTAAATACATAACTTTATAAATACTTTTTAAAGATGTTATAAAATAAATGTAAAAATCACTTATAAAAGATGAAAATTCCCGAGACATAAACCACCCATGTGTAATAAAAAAAAAAACTAAAAATTCATTTTGTGTATACTAAATTAATAATTTTTCTCAAGTAAAGTAACCGATCAAATTTTAATTAAAGATTATACAATTCACATATAACATAACATCGACTACTAGTATGATTTATGGTATCCTTAATAATTTGTTATAATTTCCATGTATAAGAAATACCGAAATTAATCGTAACAGTAAAAAGTCCCTATGTGAGTGGTTATAAAATCAGTAATAAATAATAGAGCTACATATCTATAAACCTTTTAATTACTATGTGTGCGCACATTTTATGCGATATACTATCAGTCAACTTTGCGATTCGAAAACTTTAACTAAGATTTTCCATTGTAATTTCTAGAATAGGCAACTGTTAGATTTATTTGACGATGATATATACAATGTGACATTATCCATGTACCGTTTAATATTCGCAACGTGAAAACGTACAACATATTTTTGCAATATTCCGTGTACGTGACGCAATTTAATGTAACTGATCGGCGTGAACTGTTTTTCCGCAAGTACGACCGCGCTGCCGCGGCGTAAGCTTCACGCGCGTGCAATTTCAGTGACACTCGGTACGGCGCGTGTATATTTGCGAAGTGAGGCCAGAGAGTGCCGCGGCCCCGTTCCGTCCCGCGTTCAGGCGAATTACCATATTCCGTGTTTCCCGGCCATGCGCTACATGTTCCCGTTGGGCTTGGCCCAGATTCCGTTACCTCTCCGCTTAATAAACAGAGCCTTTACTGTCTCGCGCGCGTGCAACGCAGTCTCCGCACTTGAATCCAGTTATCTTTTATTGCGGATTCCGCTCCTCCTCGCGTAACCATCCCCCCACGTCCAGGCCACACACGACAACGACGGCGTGGTCTCCGCGTAGTCGCTCAACGCCCGGGGGCGTCTATTTTTACTTGGTTTTACTTGGCTGTTGGCAAAATTCAGATTTTTATTCCGCGTTCCTACCGCGCGCCATGTCGTCGTGTCGCTCGTTAGCGCTGACGTTTTCGCGACAACGCTGCATTAGCATGGATATTATTCACGTGAAAGCCGATGGGTTTTGCACGGGGGGTGGTGTTGTACGCGCGGGGTTAAAAAGACGGGATAACACGAGTATCGCGGCGTCGCGTCGCGTCGCGCGCATTTGCTTTCTAAGCGTACGTTGTGTTATCAAGTTACACGGATAAGGAACGGTGAAACTTTGTCACTAACACTCGCGCGCGAGATCGATCCGCGCGCGAGTCGCCGTGCAAATTAATAGATCCACGGTATTTGTACTGAGAACTGGCGTCACTGGCGAGTCCATTCACGTAAGAGGAGTTAGTTTTCTGAATAGAATTAGCATAATCCGCTCCTTTCGCTAAACACTCCACGGGAATCACCTACCGAGTTGTATTTGGTGTCTTTACGAGTTAAAGCCGGTATTCGTTTTATATGTTATTTGAAATACATCTCTCGTATATCAAAGCAAATGAAGTTTGTTTAAATTAATCAAAGGATGTAAAGCGAGAGCGCACGTACTATACTTTTGTCCTTCATCATGACACTTATTGCGAAAATTTATAAAAATGCGCATTGTTCTCGTGTGATGTAAGAATGATTGCATCGAGTTAGCATCTCTGAGGTAACAAATCGTCGAATAGTATTCGAGTGATGGTAAACGACTAAAAGGACTTTGAGAAAGGAAGGGCTCGAGTGGAATGAATAAAGTTTCGTAAAAAGTGAAGGGTCCAGTTGTAAGAGAGATGGAGCACACGAAGAGGGAAGATTTTAAATCGGGTGAACCAATGTTGTTGATGATGCACATCCCGCGCCAACATCCCCTGTGACATAGAGAAAGAGAGCGGACCGGAGATAAAGTAAAGAACGTTTTATTCACATGCAATCGGGTGAATCATTGATCGTCAAGCCGACTGCATAGGAAACTGGGAAAATCCTGGGGAAAAAAATGGCGTTTTCATGTACTATTAAAATATTCGAAAAAAGCTTTCAAACTTTTTAAATTGTTGACAAACTTAGTTCCATATTGTATAACATGGATATTGTATGAAGAAGTAAAATTTACTGAATATATTTAAGAACGACGGAGAGAGAAAAAGATATTATTCGCTCTATATATATCAAGGTACAATTATATCACAGGAGCTAAATAATGAAGCAACAAGAGAGGCACATACGCGCGGGAAGAAAAATGTAACCACGAAAGAGAAGGGCTTTGCTGTGTAAGAGAGCCGTCACTAAAAAGTGTTACGAAGAACAGGCTGGAGCAACACCTGCAAGCCATGAAATATTACGACTATTTATTCGGTTCTTTTTAAGAGAATATATATCCTCGACCAATGAATATATCCGAGGTCTTGCCAAGACTTTTCCCAGGTCCTTCCGCAATATCAATTTACTTCTTCGCGATTTTGAATTGTATCGTTTCTCCTTCTTGCGCAGCAAACGCTGAAGGACTAAAAACGTACTGTTTTCTTTTATGCGGAGATTATCTTCTTTAGAATGAAAACTAAACAAGAAACTTTCTCTTTCTTGATAGAATTTGATAGTTCCTACCATTTATTGACAATTTGTAAAGCCTCTAGGACTCCATTGTCCATGGATTCTCTTCGTACAGATAAGAACTTGTGGAACTACCGTCACTATCGGAGAAGCCGTGGATATCTAGTACAAACCAATATTAGAAGTTTGCAGTATATATTATCAGACCCATGTATTATATCTAATACTATATTATTTATTAATAAAATTAAAGCTCGCTTTAAATGATTTATGATGTATAAAGTTGAAATAGAATTCTCTCTCCATTTATTATACATATATCAAATATTATTAATTTATTATGAGTTGATATAATTATAAATATTATAGTTTAAAAAAGAATAAACAAAAAATATTGTATTCTTATAATCTCTCTCATATTTAATTTAATATTATCTTGGTTAAAACACAAAAATTCAATTGTCTAAGGGAACCCAAGTTTTCTTAACGCATAGAAAATAAGTTACAGCCTCAAACTTGTGTTTTAAGAAAGAAATGTAATGTTCTTTCATGTGTATAAAGTTATAGAAAAATTTAGGTTTGGCTATCGGTAGTTGCGTTAAGTCGTTTTACGATTAACCTTTTAAATAAAGTAGATGAGAGTACAAATATCCTGAAAATTTTTTATTCTCATTGTTATATTTTTTAATAGGTATGTATAAAATTATAAATGTTAAATTTACATTATTTATTTGAGACAGAGGAAGGTAAAAGTAATGAACTTTAAGACTTCCGGATGTTATACATTTTATTTTCCTTTTCCTCCAGAACAAGGTTTTCGGAATAACTATGCATCGAAACGCGCTGTATAGTTACCTACTTACTTAAAAGTTAAATGATAAAATAGAATTAGAATTCACCCACTCTCTGCACTTGACTGTCTTGCGTATGGCTGTATGAAGTTTATTCAACTTTGCGAAATTTAATTTACTTTCAGGGTGAGGGGGCATGTTGATGTGTCGGCGGTTGCTGCTGATCGCAGCCGCGATCGCGGCCTCGATCGGGGCTGGCTCGACTAGTTACCACCCCGGCATCTCGTCGTCGGACTATTCCGGATACCCGAGTGGATACGCGGTTTACTCCGGCGCGACGTCACCCGAGTCCTCGTCGTCGAGCTCGTCCACGTCCGGCCCGACATCCGAGCTCGAAGCCAGTAACACCGAGTCGCTTTGCCGACCGTCCGAGTTCCTATGCAGCACCACCGGACATTGCATCGCGCAGGACAAGTACTGCGACGGCGAGAATGACTGCGACGACAAGTCTGACGAGCCGAGATATTGCACTCGTGAGTACCTCCGCGAACGAACGGAGACGTCGAACAAAGCAAATCGCCGGGACAAATCGATACGTCGAGGTATCTCTGTGTCTCTAACTCTCTCTCTCTCTCTCTCTCTCTCTCTCTCTCTCTTCTCTCTCTCTCTCTCTCTCTCTCTCTCTCTCTCTCTCTCTCTCTCTCTTTCCTTCTCCTTCCTGAGGAAAGAGGAGTCTTTTATTAATATTATTAATATTATTATATATTTAGAGACATAATCTGAAAAATAATAAATAAATTCAATCAGTCATTTCCTGCAGGAAATATGTATATTGTTATGATTCTTCTGTCAAATCTGTTTTATTGCTGAATAATTATAACAAAAAAGCACAAAGTAGATAACCAGCGTCAACCAATAGATTACCATTATCGTGTTCCTAAAAATTAAACAGATTTTTGTTTATCGGGCGGGTTATCCCTATAGGATTAATCATTGTCAAGCAGACAGTCAAATATCTCTATAGTAAATATACTGAATATAGTAGCAGATCCACAATGTACATATTCGATAATAAAATGAAAAATGTATTGACAACCGATATTAGAAGTAAAAAAAATAATTGCAATTGTTCTTGCTTATGTACGATTGCTTGTTTATCTGTCATACTTAAAACAATGTGAATTATTGAATATATGAACCAGGAGCGAAGTTTTCGCTCGTCCAAGCAGATAATATTCCAGTAATTATTTGGCTGTGCATTATCATTTCAGCTTAATTTGTATAAAAATCAAAATTGCACAATGATATAAAACTCATTCATAGAATACATGTCATTCATAGAATATATGACATTAGCGTTGGGTTTGTTTCAACACATACGGCTTGTATATTAGCATGCAAACGCACAATTAAATAATTTTTATTTAATAATTTAATGAGGTAAATAATTCGTTCGTTCATTATTAGTATAATAGTAATTACCACTTCATACGAAATTTAATCGATTTGCAAAGCTCAAATATAATTATGTTACACAAATATCGCATTTTCATCTCTCTGAATTTTTAATTTTCGATAATATATGCAATATATTTCAATAGAAACGTAACATAATAGGAGGAATTTATTATAGCATTCATGATCCAATTCCTTCATAAAATTTCAAATTCGTATTAAAATATGCGCAGGCCCATATGAGCTAATTACATGAAACAATTATGGTATACTTTATATGCTTTTAGTAGTCATGAAGTAAGAAGACGAGAAAATATAGCAATTGAATAGAAGATTTTCAATCAGCATTGTTATTAACTAACACTATTAATCAGCATTGTAGTAGTCTTTACGGATTTGTGCATTATATTCTGTACACTGCTATTAGGTTGATAAATATTACATCACATTATAAATAAAGCTATAGCAATGTAACAATGTGACGTATGTATTAAGTGTAAATATAAAAATACAAGAGCTGTAAATTTGAGTGTACATAAATGTCTATAAATGTTGAACTAAATGTGCGTCTGAAAAAAATAGAGAAAGAGAGAGAGAGAGAGAGAGAGAAAGTAATTAGGAGTTTATATTTTATAAAATAATGTATTATTATGCCGTGTTGTATAATCTAGCATAATTGTGCCCCAGGATTCATTTTTTGTGTATAATAATTGCGCGATAAAAACATTCCAGCTTAGCTTAACCGGACTTTGTTCGGCTTGATATACGAAACTGTGAGAGTAGTTAGAGGAGTTAATATTTTGTTTCGAATATAATATTTTATCCGTATTACGAGTATAATCACAACGGAATATATTGAAATATTTCAGAATATATTTTCCCAGTGTGTGATTGTGAACGCATGACGGAAACATTTCGTGCAATCGGACATTATACGCTTCGATGTGCAGGACACCGTGTGCTTAGTTAGGCGTTAAAATTCCCTTGGATATTATTTTACCACGTAACATAACACGCAGAAACGGGGCAGTTTACTTTTTCCGCGTAATTATCGCACAATGAAAAAAAAAGGAAACAGCCGAACGAACAAACAAACATTTTCAGCTTGCAATCGGACGTTGTACGGTGACGTCGGTCGGACCTACAGAGTGGAGATCCGCCGGCCGAGGGAGGATCGACTGCCATTCCTGTGTCACCTCAACTTCACTGCCGCCGGATCCGATCTCGGGGATCTAGTCCAGGTTGGACATAGAAATGATGTAGTTGTAGAAAATAATGCTGACTGGTGCCCGGTTGGCGTGGGGAGTCTGTCATGGAGCAGACAGCGGACCGCGTCGCGTCGGAGCCCGGATAATAATTTATATCCCGGCTTTTACGATTCTTATCGCGTTTATTGGCGAAATTAAATCAGCTCCCACGCTGAGTAAACACCGCGTCCGCCATTGCGCTTACTCCACAGATCCCCGATCCTCAACTGTAAGTTCCCGGATATATATATTTTCAGGTATATATTTTCGATCCCGATTGATATTGACATATCGATTATTACATCTCTCCGCAATGATAGAACCGATATTTACATTGTTAGCGGAGTACAATCAAGCGGTCAAGAGCATAAAGTTTTCACAATAGACGGGTCGGGTATCTCGGGATACATAAAAACGTAAAAATGACGGCGTACAAAAAAAAAACTAGAAAGCTTCTGAATTTTTTAAACAGCTTTCTTCGGCACTTTTATATATCTAAATCAAATTTACCCATTAAAAGATTTCTTTAAATTATCTGCTAAATTTAATGTATAACTATAATAGTTACTTCTTAAATTATGTTAATACTTTGCAAATAGTATATACAATATATACATACATACATATTATATAACATATATTTATATTATGGAATTTATAAAATACTTATTTTATATACATAATAAAAAAAAAAAATTTTATATTCGTGTTAAAACGGTTCACTCAAATATTTGCCAAAATTTGGTGTTGAAATTTTAACATATCTAAGTATCAATTTAACTTAATGTGATTATATTAAATTGATATTTAACATTTTTTAGTGTCAAAATAACACAGTTTATAAATGAATAGGAATAAAAATAATATATTTAAAAAAATAAATTTTAAAATAAATGAATAAAATATATATTAATTTTACGAAAACAATATTCTTTTATATACAATTTGCTTATAAATTTTGCCAGTATTATATTTATTATATTAATTTTTTATTATAATACAATATTTGTATTACTTTTTAACATATTTATCTTATGTTAAATTATAATAAATTTACAAAAATTTGAGTGAAACGTTTGGGACATGGCACGTGGAACATGTTAAATTTAACACGAAGTTTCCAACTGTATATTTTCATATTACCGGACTTGTATAATTTTTGCCCTATGAAACTTCCTTCTTGTGACTCCTCTTATTCGTTCTCATATTTCACGAAAAATGTTGTACATTGCGAAATAATTAACGAGGTTATTATAGAAATATTTGCTTTTATCGCGAAGGGCTTGTATTATAACTGGTATTCTAACTTTTATCTTTAGTTTTATTTCCAACAAAAACCGTTAGCCAGTTGCGCACGCGGATCCTCGCTGGCTCATAACTTTTAGAATAATGCCCCCCTCCCGTGGCTCCGATGTTACAGTTAACTTTTGATACCTTCACGGTCGGCCGCTTTCTATCCTTTACGTCGGAAGGATGTCCAGATGGTTTCATGACTATTCGCGAGGAAGGTCGTCCTGCGACGGGAGGACAATGGTGTGGCAGCGCGTGGGGCTACACCGTCTATTACAGCGAAACTCCTTCCATCAATCTGACTTTATATTTACTACGTTTATCAGAGCAGGTAAGAAATTGTTTCAGCTCAGGGAGATACGCGATATGATTTTCCGCAATTTCACCGCGGCAATATGGAACTTTTATCGTAGTTGTTCCAGCAGCGTTTTAATTTAAATAACGATATTTAAAGTTGCTTTTTCCTGTCAGAGAAATATTGAAAACATCATTCATTATTTGTTACGTCGCTATCTCTTCAATTTTTAAATTATAAATTTGTTAAAGTTAAAATCGACTTGCGAGCGAATTGTCCACAACAAAAGGTCGTAAAAAAATTCCGAGGCGATCAGCACTCGGGATATTTTGAATAAAACTTTCCACTTTGAGAATGTTCATCGTGAAGTAAAAAGGAACGACGTGTTACGATATCGTGGCAAAATTTCGGGAAATTCTTCCGTGTCTCAGGGTATCGGCTACAACTTCGACTTCAAGCTGTCGTACAAGTTCCTGAGAAGAAGCGAGGCGCATCTCAGATACGGAAACAGTAGTATGTCCACATGGCGCGGCGAGCTGGTAAACGGCACGTATTGCGATCGCGTCCTTACCAAATGCGATACTAGAGCCTGCCGGCTGCAGTCGCCAAATTATCCCGGAGTTTATCCCAGGAATGTCACTTGCTACTATCGGGTGGAGCAAAACCGCGCGCCGGTGGGTCATCGGGCTCTACTCGCCGTTAGTCAGCGAAACAGTCACAAGATACACATTAAGGACCAGGTCGTGAAATACGACAGAAGTCAGCGAGTGCTAAGGTAAATCCCTGATGCTAATGACGCTTATCAAATCAATATTCAGTAAAGTATAATATCAAATCAATATCACTCTTTTCGCGAGAAAAATTATCTTAAATATTGCAAAAAGCCATAATTTAGCATGCTGGTGAAATTCAATTCGTGTCGTCGTGTTTTCAGCAAAACATTTATAAAAAGAACATCTTGTCCGGTATAAAATCATTCGTTAAAATCATTTAATATTCGAAGTGAAATTCACGCGCTTTTCAAGGGTGTGGGATCAGTGCAACGTCGTGCAGGATTATTTAACGGTATACGACGGAGGTTCAACCTCAGACCGAGTACTTGTAAGACTGTGTGGAGGAGATGCGGTGCCAGACATCATCAGCAGTCACAATACCATGTTGTTAGAGTTTCATACGTCCCCGTACGACAATCCGTTTCATCCAGTACCGCTGTCTTTCCTGCCAGGATTTGAACTCGAGGTTCAGGTAATGCCCGGGTATCACATAATACCTTGTCACATAACATCGTCAAACGAATTTGTTGCGAAAATATGAAAATTGCAATTTGTGAAATTAATTATTTGTGATTATTGTAATGTCGCAAATGGATTATTAAAATGTAATAGAGAATTTGATTTAAAATACATAATTATAAATCAAAATTAAATATATAATCAACAATTTATCGATTGCTTCTTTATACGGTATACTGACAATGAGTATACATATGTATGTATGTGCATTCACACAATAGGTGATCTTTGTCGACGAAAAGTCGCGCAGTTTTGTGAAAGAGAACGACAACTGCGATTTTTATATATCCGGTGACGAGAACTCATCGGGCATTTTGGAAAATCCGAAACACTCTTTACCGCCGAACACAACGTGTCGTTATCATTTCCAAGGGAAACTCAATGAAATCGTTTGGTTATCGTTCGTTAAATATTACGCCGCCAGCGTGGAAGCTGCTGCAAGTATCGACACCGCCGCTGATTGCAATGCAAAGCTTCTGATATGGGACGGCGATATCACAGTGGACAAACTTACTTTCAGCCGAAAAGTACGTACCAAATTGTATCCCGCCTCTACAAAGTCTGTTACTTAGCAACTTTCTTGCTTCGTTACTGAAGTAATATAACTTCGTTACTAAAGTAACTTTGTTAGTAAAGTAATATAGATATAAATATAAATTCAGAAAAGAGTGCTTTGATTCCACGAGCAAGAGAAATGCATAATCTAAATATCTCGCAAGAGAAATTATGAAATTTCCTCCGCGAATTCTAAGGATATAATTATTCGAGAATAACGTCAAAGATTCTGTGCATTAATATATACCTTACGTGACGAAATTGTCAAATTACGTTAATACGATTAAACATTCTTGTCTTATTTCCGAAGAATATCGCATACTATAGAGAAGTATAAGACATTAAGGAAACATAATATACGTAACTTTGCACATTTTCACACGCGATATTTTACGATGAGGATACGATCTCATCTCTTCTCTGATGCATCCCGTGTACAATAATTTCGCAGAACGTCACGCTGATGGGGCAGTTTTGTAAGGACGACATACCGCGACTCTGCGACCACAGTCTGTTGCGTAACAGCAGCCGTCATACGCGGCCGTGTAGCCTTACGGAGAGTTACGTGTCGACCGGCCGCGACCTCACCCTGGAACACATATTGCGCCAGGGTAGCGCGCTATATCCAATAAGTTTCGTGCTGCGCTACGAGTTCGTCCACGAGGCAATCTCGTGTAACCACGTGTTCACCTCGGCGCCGTCGGCATCATCCACGTCTTCCACGTCGTCATTATCGTCCGCTTCTGCATCATCGTCCTCGTCCTCCTCGTCGTCCAACGCCGGAAAGTTCGCCTCACCGAAGAACGTGTTCTTCTACGGCCGCGGTGGAGCGCAGAATCTGAGCTGCGTGTACAGATTCGAGGCCGAGTCCGATCACAAGATAGAGCTGTCCTTCGTCAGGGCATCTTTCGGTGGCAAGAGTTGCGCGTCTTACGTGGACCCGTTGGTGAATCGATGGACGTGCGACCGCCGCATGGCGGATATTAAAAAGTTCGGCATGGCGGATCTAGTTGTGGCTGAATACCCTTGGGAAGGAGTCGAATTGGTATGTCTGACGTAATAAAATCTTTTTTTTCTCCTTCAATGCCTTTCATTAAAAGATTTTTAATCGCCACTCTCCCTTTTTCTCATTAAAAAGTTGTTTTATAAGTTCTGTCCCTAAAGGGATTATTATATAAAAGTCTGTAAAATTTATGTCTAAGTAATTAATTACAATCGAATATCTTTGAAATAAAGTAATATATTTCTCCCCCTTTTCGTAATCTTTTGTAATCTTTTGCTTTTAGGTTCGCGATTGTTTGTGCTCGAACGTGAGTGAGAGAATCGTTGTGCGGACTCTGACATCGAACGTGGTGGAGGTCAGGTTTACCATCACGCTCATGAACGTTACCCAGGATTATCGAGACTTCTTTTTCGAGGGGGAATATCGTTTCGTTCCGGTGGGCGCGGAATCGAATGAGCACGGATGTTCAACGAGACTCGAGGAGCGACGATTGCACGGCACCAGTGGCGAAATTTCCCTCAGGAGTCCTTTGCCGCGGGTGATTCCCGGTCTGGCTGCAGTGGAGGAGATCCTAACGAACACGGAGGATCTCACCGCGACGCAATGCGTGAACGAGCCGTGGCTGATCGAGCCTGAAGACGCGCGCATTAACTTCCTGTACTTGAGAACTGCCGGCTACGGCATTACCTTGGACAACGTCGAAGAGTGCACGACTCTGAATAGAATCGTTATCTATTCAGCCGCGAACACAAAAGAACGCAGTGTGATCTGTCCGGAGGGTGGCGTCGATACGGCCAGGACCGTCGACTTTTTCTCAGGTGGCTGGAATTATAGCGCCGTGAATGCCAGCGTGACGATGGCGCAGCACTCCCGCAGCTTCGTCGTGGAATTCCTCCAGCGGGAACCAGGTTTCTACGCCGTCACGTGGATCGCGATCTCCAAACGCTCGCCAACCGTGTCCAATGTGGGTGCCAACGCATTTGCCATACTGCCTGCGGAAGATTGCCCGTACAAGTTCGTAATGTAATTTTCATATATATAAAAAAATCAGTTTTTTTATTTACCGTAAAATATATAAGTGTCAGAGTTTAATCGAAATACAACCACTTAATTGGATTTCTGTCTATCTCTGTCATTAGGTGTCCAGAAATCCAGGCATGCATCAGTTCTGTCCTGTGGTGCGATGGTGTGCGTCATTGTCCCTCAGGCTTTGACGAAGAAGAAGCCAATTGCTCGTACCGTTTCGGAGTGACGCTGCTGTACGTCGCGGTGGGCGCCGGTGTCCTCGGTATATTCCTAATCCTCCTGTTGGCCACTGGTTGTCTCAAATATTGCCTCTACCGGCACAAAGCGCGCAAGAAGAAGAAGAACGTTGCTCTGAACGTCAATCATCTCCATGTGAATCACACTCATCACAACAACGGCTTGACCGGCAGCCGTCTGAGTGGACGTTACAACTTAACCACACCCCAGGAAATGTACCTGGAAAATTACGGGAAGGATAGTATTTGTTGACAATACGCCATTGCCAATATCGAGACCACCGTGTGAATAGTCATGATTTTTAAATGCCTACCTCGCTCTGGGCCCCC